GGGGAGGGAGGGGAGGGAGGAAGGTGTAAGGCTGTGATCGCTGTGAATGTGGCAACCTGAAAAGCATTCTGCTTTAACAGAGCACAGTTTACTCTCCCACATGTGCTTTTCTAATTTCCCGATAGCGGGACAAGGCAGGAGAGCCGACGGCTGTGCAAGAGGGTGCAAGAGCTCACTGCTGTGGTGATGAAGAGCTGAGCAGCCCCAGCAGCATGGCAGAGCCACAGCAGCGCGTGGTGATGGGGCAGTGCAGGCACAGGATGCTGTGGGTTACCCGCTCCCCAGCAACAGGCTGTACAAGCCAGATGAAACCCTTCACCGCAGATAGAGAGAGGAAATTGCTGAAGTTTTGAAGCAGTTTCATGGCCAAGCATTGTGAACTGGGGACGGATGGGTCCTGGGGACGCCTGCTGGCACACAGGGCTGTGAAGGGAGGTGGGCTGCTATGGAGCAGTCAGGCTGCTCCATGTGCCACTGCAAAAGCAACATCACGGCAAGAGCTCCAGTGCTTTAGGAGTGAACACGCTGTGTCAGAATGCTCCTCCAGTTCAGAGGAACCCAGTGTCCTCGTGCAGCCCAGTGTTCTGGTGGGAAAAGCCTGCCCAGGGCCCCCGCTGCCTCGAGGAGCTGCCCACAGCTTTACCAGCTTTTTTTTTTTTTTTTTTTTTTTTTTTCCTTTTCTTTTTGTCTGCCTGGAAGAGGCTTTTCTCCAGTGCTTTTGCAGAAGGGAACAGTTGATGGGCCTCTGCCCTCTGACATGCCAGTTGGGTGAGTAACAAGTTGGCTGAGCTGAGGGTGTGTGCTCTTAATTGGGTTTCAGTTAGAAATCTCAGCGTAAGTTCAGGGACATCAGCTGTTCCACCCCAGGCGACTATCTGCTGTTTGGTGAAATACCTTTTGAGATAAGATTTGGTTTTGTTTTTGTTGTTGGTTTTTGTTTTTTTTTTCAATTCTTTTTCTCACAGTGTTGAAAGTTCCTGCATGCACCCAGCACAGAGCCAGGCCTGCCTGGGCGAGAGGAGCAAGCTCTGTTGTCCCCAGGAGGACAGCAGCATCTATAAGTGTGTGTGATTTAGGTCAAAAGTGGCTTCAACAAATGTGCATGTATTTATTCTCCTGGGGAACACCGTAATTGCTGAGCGTGGCACTCAGGCTTCAGTTTGTGGTGTCTATAACCTAGGTGCCCATATCCATCCTGTGCGTGTCCCTCGCATGTCCCATTGGGCTGCAGAGCAGGCAGGTCCCTTGGCTGAGCTGTCAGCAAGGGCTGCTGGGCTCTGGCTGCGTGGGAAGGGCTGCTGTGTTTTTCAGTGTCAGGAGCTAACAGCGAATATCTGCACGTGCTTGTGAGATGTAATTGCAGCTGCCTTTGGGCTCATAAATGCACTTAGGGCATTTTCATTTTATATACAAACTGCTTTGGAGCAGAGGGAGGGCTGGTGCTGCTGCCACTTCTCCTCCGCAGCGGGCAGGCTGAGCAGGCAGTGAGGAAGCCCCTGGCTTTCTTGCATGGAGTAAGTCATTACAAACAGGATGTTTGTCCCGGGCTGCTCGCTGGAAACCCTGCAGCTGGCTGTAGGACACTGGGCAGGGGATTACGCACCCAGCACAGATACTTTGAGGGAGCTGCTTATAGAATGCCTACATGGAGCTGCAGTGTGATTCACAGATACACAGGACTATGTTTGGGCTGTGTGAGGCTGCTGAGGATCAGCAGCAAGCCCCATCCTCAGCCTCACCCATCAGCTGAGGAAAACTGAGCACAGAGCAGGCATCAGCTTAGCACAGAGCAAAGAGGCAAAGGGCAGCTCGAGATCAGCTGTGCTGATAGCGAGGTCATGGATTCAGCCCTGCCTTGGAGAGGCGTAGACAAAGGTAAGTAAGGTATTGTCTGCCTGTGAATCAAGGAATGTAACAACAGTCCCAAGCAAAGCATTAACCAGTAAGTCACAGCCCTTGGGTACACCTCCCTGTTGTATGGGCTCTTTGCCAGCAGGACTTCTGTTGTTTTTTTTCACTCCTCCAAGCTCCTTCTTCTTTGCAGCCAGAACAATGAGGTGCCCATGTTGAGGAAAGTCCTGGACTGCTTCCCTGCCTGCTCCCAGCCACATAAGTACCGGCACAGCCCCCAGCCTCCTGCTGCCCTCAGCCCAAGTGCTTGCATGCAGAGAAGTCTACATGCTCCTGACACCAGGCCTGTGTTCCTACCTGGCTTGATGGTGAAACTTTTTTTAAGCTGGCCCTGCTCCTGGAAGGAAGATTTGTACGTGTGGTGTATGAGCTGTGGGATTAGGAGTTGGATTTATTCAAGTCAGGATTTCTGGGCTGAAATGAGCCCATTAGGGTTTTTTGGATGTTCAGACTATATAACCACACCCGTAATTATTATTTGGCATCTCTGCCCTTGTTGAAAATGCATATTTTAGAATTTCATATATTTTCCATATTCCCAGTGGCTGGCTTGCTGCCTGCTGTGCCTGTGTAAGCACAGACATTCATGCTGTTTCAGAGGTAGTATTTCCCTAATATTCTTATTGCTAGTCTGTGAACCAGAATGAAACCCAATAGAAATGCCCTACAGCCCACGCTGACCCAGAGCGGGGTCTGTCATGCTCTGCCCTTCCCCATGGAGCAACTCTCCCTGGAGCACATCCAGCTGTGCCAGTGGTGCATGCAGTGCCTGTGCCCTGGGGCAGGGATCCCAAGGTTATGCCCACCAGGTTTGGCTCTCACCAAGCCCTCTGCTTTCCTCTCAGATTCAAAATAGGTTCCTTGGGCTGGAGGCTCTTTAGCGGGAGCTTCAGGAAATGCCAGGCGCAAAGAAGTGTGAAGCTGTTTGTTGGGCATAAGCACCCGTGTCACCTGCATGCTGCATTAGCAGCTGATTTGAATTGGGCTGCTGGAAGTTTTGGGATTCCTGAGACTGCTCAGAGCCAGGAGCTGAGCCTGGTGGTACCGGGGGGTTTCTCATCAGGTCTCCTCTACTGACTGAACCTGAGGGTTGAACTCGGAGACTCCCTATCTTTGGGCAGGTGATTCCCAAGGCTCCTGGCTCCAGTAGGAAAGGATTGCTCATGTGGGATGAGCAGAACCACAGCTGTGATTCAGTGATGAGACAGGTTAATCTGTGCAGGCAGGTTTCATGCCAGTCAGTGACGTGAAGTGATGCTCGCACTTACAGGTCTGAGCTGCATTTCAGTGATGATGGAGATCACCATGCAGAAGCAGTGGCAGGAGGTAACTTCTGCCTTTGCTAGTGAAGTGCTGATGCTATGGTTAATGGTACAAACTCAAGTAAGAAGAAGTGTGATAAAATCCCCCTTTAGTGTGAGGGGGCTCTGCTGGCCCACTGTCTTCCTCCCTGCCAGCCTTGTGCTCAACTCTGAGTCAGCACAGATTTGTTCTCCTGGTTTTCAAATCATATGAGTGTCTTCCCAATTGCTTCTCCCCATCTGCCGCTTCCCCAGCTTGCTCAAAACACTTCCCCCCCCTCCTGGCCTCTGGTTATTCTTCTCTGCTTCCTCCAACTGTGCCTGCGTAATGCTGCCCAACCTGTCTGTGTTTCTCCCAGCATTGTCTCCCCTCTCACTCTTGGACCAGGGCCGATTCTCACGGCGCACTCGGAGGCGTGCTGCATCTCAGTGTGGGTCCCCTCTCCAGGACAAAGCAGCCATGACTTCCACCAGGGTCCAAGTTAGGAAATAACATACGCTGTGTCCTTGTGTAGGAAGCGCAGAATGAAGGGCTGGGCTCTCAGCTGTGGCCGCAGACCTCGGACCATGGGGCAGAGGGAGACTGAACCTCCTCCTCTTGGATGGAGCAGCGCTGAGCGACGTGAACTTCCTATGAAGGGCAGTTTCAGCTCAGGGAGCTGTGCTGGAAAACACTGCCTGCAATGTGCTCAGTCCTTGTCCTCAGAGTAAACTCTGGCATATTGCCTCTCGGGCATGTCACCCTGCATTGCTCTAGCAAGGAGTAGAAGAGCTTGTTGGGGCACTAGGCTGTGAAGTGTCTCTTGTCCTTCTTAACCCTGGCTGCTTGAAATTTTTTGTTTGCTTATCTAAGCAGCCCCATCTGCCTTGAACACAAGCAAGGAGCTGGGGTCAGCACCAGGCTGTCCCCAAAGAAGGTTCCAGAGGCAGGGGACGAGGGCATGTGCTCCCTGCAGGCTGTGCATCTGTGGGCTGAGGTTTAGTGGTGCTGGACTGTGCACGTGGCGCTGTGTCCTGTATCTTGCATCCCATGGGACTTGCATCCCCAGTGCCTGCAACGTTTTCAAGTGCATTGTGCCATGTTTAATGCCTGGTGGATGCAGCCCTGTGGGGCAGGCAGGGGGAGAAGAGGGGCAGGCAGCAGTGGAACGTGGGAGATGGGCCGGGTTCTGCTCGTGTCCCTGGGATACAAACAGCAACAATCTGGCAAATGCACTCAACCTCTTTGCTCACATATTTTTCCCTCAAATTGCTCGAAGTCAAGAGAGCAATGAACTACTGAGTAATGGGAGGTTGAAAGACCCAACTAGCCCTTCCCATCCCTTCCAAACAAAATCCTGCCTGATTTCTCCCCACCACGTCAGCTCCCAGCTATGACAGCTATCTCATCCTGTTGGCAAGGCCACGTCTCTGGAGCAGCCTTGGCTCCAAAAGGCAATGGAAAAAGATGTAAACAAACACGGGGAGCGGAGCTGAGGCTGTCGGCTGTGGCTGGGCCTGCAGGTAGGGCTGGGGGCTGTGAGCTGCGGGATGGGGCTGTGCTCAGCTCCTGGGGTGCTGCGGGATCCGCCTGCAGCACTGGGGCTGTGGTTCATGGTGGGGATGTGCCCTGGGGAGGGCTGGAGCCTCAGCATTGCCATGAGGGTACGGGAAGGTGCCTGTGTGGTGTGAGCTTTGTTGTGCAGGAAGTGGCAAAATGAACGCTTCGTTTTTCTTCACCCCTACCCCGCAGGCTTGTCTTGGTGGCACACAGAGCTGACTGTAATTCCTCTCTCTTTGTTTCCCCAGATCATGATCGAGTTTTGCCCAGGCGGGGCGGTGGATGCCACCATGCTGGGTGAGTGCCTGGCCCTGGGGGGGTCCCAACTGCGTGGTGCCATCAGGAGCCCTGCTCTCCTGCTGTTGCTCCTCTCCCATGAGTTTGCCTATTCTCCTACCTGGAGCACAAGGTGTGGCAGCCCCTGGGTGTTTCCCAAGCTACTTTTGATGTCCTTTTGTGATTTAAATGCTGCGGGGAACAGCAGATCACAAGACATGTGGGAGAAGGCAGTCTGACTGAAGTGCTTTAAATATTTATCTGCTTGGGGCAGGGGTGCTGGTTCCCACAGCTTCCCCGAGAGGGCTGAGATGCTTCATCTGGGCTCGTAGTGGTGGATCTCTCAGGGTCTCCTCGCTGACTTCTCCGTATGGTATCAGTCATCTGGAAAACAGCCCAAGCATCCAAATAAACTGCAGTTTGTAGCGATTCCTGGAATCTTCCCGTTTTTAATTCCTCCCTTCTGCATAGTACCACTGGGACTGGGAGTGTGCGAGCATACCTCAAAACCATCCCAGGGCTGTAGGGACACAGGGAGCTGTAGTCCCCTCCACAAGGCCAACCTGCACTATTCCGTTTTGAAGCTTAGACAATTCCAAAAGCTTTGCTTTCTTTTTAGTTCCAAAATTTGCACAAAACTGTTGCCCACAGCAGTGTTCAAAGCTTTTCTTTTGCCATACGCTCCAAGGAGAGGGCTAAGGCAGTTGCTGGGGTCCACCCGTCAGCCCCCACCCCAGCCAGACTGGAGCTGGCTCGTGCTTGCTCTGTTTTCAGCGTGCTCTGTTGTGCACCCAGCTGTAGTGCAGAGGGGGGAACATGCATCGCAGAGAGCTTGCAAAGAGAGAGAGTGTGACCAGGCCGATGCTGACCATCTGGAGGCCGGACGATTTGCAGAGCTGCTGCTTTGGAAAGTGGTCTCAGATGGCGAAGGCAATCAGGAAGAACTTAGTAGGGTGATCGTGCCAGTAGTTGCACGTCCCCCTGTCCAGAAGCAGGGACAGATGCTGGGGTGTGAGCTGCTGCTACTGTAAGAAAAACAGCTTAGACCAGTGCTCATCATTCCCTCATTGGAGTGGCAGTGTCCCCCTACTCAATGCTGTGGGCAGGGGCATACTGCATTGCTGTGATAGAGGGCAGCTTCTGGGGAGATGGGCTGACAGCAGGGCTGTGCACAGAACTAAGAAGTGTTCGTGCTTGCATTTAGCCCTGCTGCCACCTGCAGCTGAGTTCAACTCTTTGCTCCCTGCAGCATCATCCTCTAGTGTTCCCATGCCAGGTGAAACTCAGCTTGTCTTCAGTGACCCAGTTCCCAAACAGACACGGAGCTGTTTTCCAATCATGCAGGAACCTTGTTGTGCAGCAGCCCCTGCAGCCTCACCTGCCTCCCCATCGTCCACTGCTCCCAGACCAGGCAGCTCAGCTGCACACCCTGGGAGTGAGCCATGGGTCAGGAGCTCCAAGCTGAGTGCTGGCTTGGAGAACAAATTACCCTAATAAGCTAATTTGCATTGGTCTCCTGCTGCTTTGACACATGGACAGTGCTTTTTAAATGGCCTGACAGGATTGTCTATGCCTTACTGAGGCTCAGGGAGAACACAGCTCGAATCCCTGCCCTGTTTAACAGCCCTTTCTCCCCTCACAGAGCTGGACCGGGGCCTGACTGAACCCCAGATCCAAGTGATTTGCCGCCAGATGCTGGAAGCTCTCCACTACCTTCACAGCAAGAAAATCATCCACCGGGACCTGAAGGCTGGCAATGTGCTCCTTACACAGGATGGGGACATCAAGTTGGGTGAGCACAGAGTCTGCGTGGGTGCTCGCTCTGCCATGGTGCTGCTTCTGTTAGTTCTGCATACGGAGGCTGCTGTGGTGCTGTGTTTCAGTCTAACATGATTGGGATTGCTGGATGCTCTCTTATGTCAGTTGCATGTATGGGAGCAAGACTGGGGTGGTGTGCACGTTTTGTTGCCCTGCTTCTCTGCTGACCGATGAGGTTAGGGAGGAAAAGATGGGGGAAGACTTTCTGTTACACAGTGGGGCAAAACCACCATCAAACTGTGTGTTGTGCTTAGCTGAGGAGTTCTCTCAGTATCTGCTGCAAATAGAAATCTGGTGTTTTCTGTAACCTGGTGGGGGGTTAAAGATTACATTGGGAAGGAAGTGGTTGAGAAGCATTGCTGCCTGGTCCTGAGCAGGTGTCTGTGGTCAGCTCTCAAACATGGTGGCTGCAGATGGGCTGCTGGGAGCGGAGGTGAGGAAGGGGTGCCTTCCTTCTTGGGGGTCTCAGCCTGTATGTACCCCATGTGTTGGCATCAGGAAATGGCTACAGTGAATGTCCCCAAGGCCAGCTGAGTGCAGCACCTTTTGGTGGAGGGTGCAGCACTGCAGGGGCTCTACGCTAATCTATGAGAGTAGCATGGAGCAGTGAGACCCCCAGCTCATGCCAAGCCAGAGACCTGATGGATTTTCCTTTCATGAATTTTGTTTAATCGTGTTTTGAAGTTGATTTCTAAGCACTTTGGCCTGCTGAGCATCCTGTAAAGGGTGCCAGTTGGCAGGGCTGGGAGCTGAAGGAATTCATCTTATCTCCAGAGCAGGTCTGGTGGTGACAGGGTGAGTTGTGCCAAAGAGAGGCTTTGCCAATTCACTATAGGTCTGAGTTAAATTGGTGTCCAACTAATTGCTGGAGGATGAGAAGGCAGCCTTCTCATTGGATCCTGTTTGGAAAGGTGCAGATCCCTTCTAGACCCTGCCAGGAGGGTGCCAGCAGCTGTGGGTGCTCATGGAATGTGTCTGTGGGCACCAGTGGAGACCCAGGAATGGCCCATTAAATGAGAACCCATGCGTAGGCAGCCCAGGATGCTGGAGACCTTCCGTGACCATGTACTGTGCTCTAGCATGAGAGGTGCTCTGCTGCCTTGAGACCTACGGTTAGGGATGTTTTGGGCCCAGACTGTGGATGGACAGCAGCTCCTCTGAATGTCATCACTGCCATCTTGGAGAGAAAAGGCACCTGGGGTGGATTCAGTGCCTCCATCAAGTCTGACTGGGTTGGCTTGGCTTGGCTTCAGCAGCTGTTTGTGGGCCAGAGTCATGGAATGGTGTAATACAGTGGCTGTTGTGTACAGGACTGTAAAGGAGACAAAGAATACAACAGTGCTTTGTCTTTTGGGGAGTAAAATGAGACTCTTTGCTATGAAAAAGCAGTGTTAAGAGAAATTTGTCATGGAGCTGCTTTTGTTTGTTTGTGGAAAAGATCTCAACTTCCCTCTAAATACGTAAGGTTTGGGTTACAGCAGGGGTGACTTGTTCTGTGTATGTCAGACATGGGAGGGAGAGGTCCCTGGTGGTTGTGTACCCAAAAGCAAACTTAATTTCTGATGCTCAGTGTAGTGGAAACAGCACGTTGTATCATGTTCTTTCTTTAAATGTGTTTGCTTTTAAGTCTGTGTTTCAGCCAAGTGTGCTAATTCAGAAGGGTCTTTCAGTTCTCCTGCAGCATCTAATGTTACTGCTCTTTGCAGCTGACTTTGGTGTGTCTGCCAAAAATGTGAAAACCTTGCAGAAGCGAGACTCCTTCATTGGGACCCCTTACTGGTGAGTGACCTGATGAGGTAGAAATCCTGTCTTTAAGGTGCACATGATGGCTTCATGCGTCTGAAAATGAGACTTGCTCAGAAACATGGAGCTGGTGGTATTTGCATGTTTTGTCCATATTGTCCTACGAAGGATTTTAACAAGGAGTCTGGGCCATCACTGGCGTGTGCAAGGGTTCTCCTTTCCTGAAGGGAGCCATGAGGACCATCAGTGGCACGGAGCACTGCACAGTGTCACAGTGCCTCGCAGTGCTGTCGTGCTGCAGGCTCAGAGGAGTGAGGTACACACATGTGCTCGTGTGTGTGCTCTGGCTGCTCCCCTCTGCCTGGGTGGTAGAGCGTGCTTTGAAGCAGCTCCAAGCACATGAGCGCAACTCCTCGCTCCAGAAATGCAACCTCTAAATCACCCAACTTGCTGAAGGAATGGAGACTGCGAGTATTAATTTATTGTCTGCAGCAGCATCCGTGCCAGATGTCAATGGCCTGGGGGTTTTCGTGGGTTGCCTGGGCTGTCTCAGCTGTTCTGCAGAAGAGGGAGGAGCATGACCCTTAGACAAGATGCTGCTCCCAAACCCAGAGCTGGGAAGGAAGGCCATTTTTGTGTGTGTGTGTGTGCCGTGCTATAGATTATTTTAAGCATTTTTAATCTCTGCTAAGAGGCTCCTGAGCATGGCAGCAGCTGTGGCATCATCCCTGCTCCTTGCTGTGCCCCTTGCAGGATGGCCCCGGAGGTGGTGATGTGCGAGACCATGAAGGACACTCCGTACGACTACAAAGCAGACATCTGGTCCCTGGGAATTACGCTGATCGAAATGGCCCAGATTGAGCCTCCCCATCATGAGCTCAACCCCATGCGAGTCCTGCTGAAGATTGCCAAGTCTGACCCGCCTACGCTCAGCTGCCCTTCCAAATGGTGAGGGGGGGCACCTCAGGATTTGTGATGTACACAGGACAGCAAAGCCTGGAGCACACATCTTCTAATTTGTGTAGCATCTCGACAGAGAAGAGTCATCACTCTGGTGGTGTTTAATTTGAGAGCCTAGGGTGGGATCGGGGTCCGGCTTTGTGCTAGGACCCCAGGAGCTGCTGTAGGAGGGAAGCTGCTGGGGCTGTGACAGACAGCAGGCAGGAGCCCTAGGGCAGTGTGTCACCACACTAGTGTAGTGTATGCCAGTGGGCTGGTGCTGCCCTTGGCGCTGCTCGAAAGCCAGATCTGAGTCAGAGACAGCACCCTTCATCTGGGTGGTGTGCTCTGTGGGCTGATGGTGCCCTCCTCTGGGGTTTCTGGTCCTTTGCGGCCGTCCATCTCCACTGGGGCTGAAGGGTGGAAGGAGTGGGTCCTGGGGCCTCTTTGTTCCCAAGTAGCACTTGGATTTTGGAAAGCTGCACGTAGATGCCCTTTCCTGATCACTCTGCCCTGGATGTCGGCACAGCAGCTGGCACTCTGTCCTGCTGTCTGTTGCCATAACAGGTAAGGGAAAATCTAGACCCTCACCTGACCATGTTGCTGATTCTCTTATCATCTGAAAACTGAGCGCTGGGCTTCCCATTCTGGGAGTGAAACAGAGATGGTGGCCAAATGGAAACAGGGACAAAACCTGTGCTATAGAGCTGTCCCCAGTGGTATTTGAGGTCTTTCCCTCTTCTGAGCTGCTCTCAATGACTGTCTGAAGGTCCCTGGAGTTCAGAGACTTCCTGAAGACAGCGCTGGACAAGAACCCTGAGACCCGACCCAGTGCAGCCCAGCTGCTCGAGGTAGGGACCAGCATTACCCAGCATGAGACTGCCCTACTCCCTGGTCTTCGCTGGGCATTGAGTGTCTGAACTTCATTGTGTTTCCTTTTCAGGGGGAAAAAAGAGTGATGATGAGCTCTAGATATGTTTTAGATAATACTGCTCTTGTTCAGAAAGTCCATAGTACTGCTCAGCCACTAAGATAATCTGAAAAGCAACAGCCATGTTGTACTCATTGAAGCAAACTGCAGAGTTCATATTGATACCAGCTAGAATAGAAGTGGCTCCTAGTCCCTAAAAATAACCAATTGGCAGCCAGCTCAATTTTTAGCTGGTTATACCAAATTTAAATGCAACTCTTTTTCTCCTGTTTCTTACCAAAATAACAAAACCCTGGAAGATGCCTGTTTGCATGGAATGCATATGCTGTGCGATGTGAGAGTGTTTGCTGCATCCTTCCCACCCTGTAAGCATTCAGCTCAGAGTGTGCAGAGGGCTCTGGCCCTGTAAGCACTGAGAGTGGTGCAGTGACAGATGAGAGAGGAGTGGCTCTGTTTATCACTGGGGCAGCCCCTGGCGGGTGCATGTTTACCTGAGTCAAGAGGAGGAAGTGCATGATGTACTCTGCAAACCGCAGGGACTCCCCGGCCTCTTGCAGAAGCTCTGCACAAACATGCCACTGTTTACTGAGTGATCTGAACCCAATTTCAATTAAACCTTCCCCCTCTGTGTTTGCACAGAGGCTTCCCACTGCTCTGCTCTGCCCCAGCGGTGCCCCAAGGGCTCAGACTTGTACCCCGGGGTCAGCCCACCCGCCAGGCAGGAGGACATCTCCTTGCAATGAGATCCCCTTGTTTAAATGCAGCTGGTGCTTTCTAGGAGGAATGTTGACAGAAAGCAGCTTTGCAGAGGATTGTGCTTGGAGCATGTTTACAGAGCTGAGATTTAACCTCAGCATCATTTCCTCCCTCATACGAAGCTGTAAATTCATCTGGTGATGCTGGCAAGAACCATGCCCTTAGGTCTTTGCAGTTGTTTAAAAGCAAGATGTGTATCTTACTGTCATCTCAGCACCCTTGCTCTGGTTTTTGCTGTCTCACATGTTGTTGTACTTGGCTTTTCAGCATCCCTTCGTACGCAAGGTGACCAGCAACCGGGCCCTGCGTGAGCTGGTGGCTGAGGCTAAGGCAGAGGTACTGGAGGAGATTGAGGACAGCCGGGATGAGGCAGAGGATGATGATTCCTCCGAGTCAGCCTCGGTGAGTGCTGCTCTGCCAGCCCTGTGCCACACTTGGCACAGAGTGGGGCGGCAGTGGGTGAAAAGCCCCCAGCCTGGCTGCAGAAGGCTTAATTTGGGTCTTTTCCTAGAAGCCCAATGTGAGCAGGCTGCTGCCCTGCTGGGTCCCCGCAGGTGGATGGGAAAGCAGTTTTGTGACCAGGGAGGGGCCAGTTTTCAGTGGCTGCCAAGGACATGGGGAAACAATGGTGCTGGCGGGTGGCCCAGCTGCCCGCTCATGAGATGGGAGTGCACAGAGCTGCTGCTGTGGGCAGGGCTGTGAAGGATGGAGAGCCAGGGCTTCCACTAAGCTCTCTTTCTTCCTATGGAGAAAGACATCAGTATTCCAGGGAAAATGTCCTGAAAGGGAAGATTTCTTCACAGTTTTCTGTAGTTGTGGGTGACTTTATTCTGAAGCATGGGGACTTAAAACTCATGCAGATGTGTTGAAGTGGTGGTGCAAAACCCAGCATCTTCTGTTTGTTGTCTTTTCAGCTGCCTGGAAAGCACAAGCGAGACCCCTCTGAAGTGAGTCAGCTGAGTTTTGATGGGGACAAACCTCCAGACTCTTCCTCACTCAAGACAGCTAATGGTCCTGTAGCAGCTGACAAGGAAATGGTGAATGGACAGAGTGATAAAGTCATGGATGAAGGGATAAGCAGTGACAGTGACAAGTTGGTGAATAGCCGCTCCACTAAAACCCTTGCCAGCTCCAGCCCAGACGAAGGGAAATCCACCCCAGGCAAACCAGACATCATCTCGCTGTCTGGACGGCGGGGTAGTTCAGCAGAGGGGGATAAGCAGCCCATGCCAGGCAGCAAGGAGCGGAGGAGCATGGTGGACCGACCAGAGAGCAGCCACCTGGAAAACTTCCCGGAGGACAAACTTGCCAACGGAAGCTTGGATTCATCAGCAGTGTTCCCTGGCAGCCGGTCCAAAGGGGACTCAGATTCCGGCAGCACGTCGGCCTCAGAGAGTATGGACCTCACCATCTCCCTGTCTGCAGACCTGTCACTCAACAGAGAGACTGGTTCCATCTCCCTGAAGGTGAGAGCAGTGGCTAGGGGGTGTTGAGCAGGAAGGGCAGCAAGCCCAACTGCTTGCACCTAAATGCTGCTGGTTTTTCTTAATCCAAGTCCCTGAAATTCAGATCCTCTCCTTTCGAGACTGAGTGCATGCATGCATCTATATCTCATTAAACTCCTTCCTGAAAACCAGAATGTTTTTCTGGAAGATTTTCGCTCCATACATTGGACTCTGTGATTGCAGGAGAAATGAGTGAGTTGCCCCAAGTCTGCCATGTGCCTGGAGAGGGAGTGGATAACGTGGGAGAGTGCAGAGGCTGGCTGACAGCAGAGGTCCAGGAATGTTGGTTTTTATCCCTCAGCGTGACCTGAAGTACCACACAGGTGCAGAATGCTGTTTGGTGAGATGGCCAGGAACGTTTGTGGTAGTGCTGGGTTAGTGCCATAAACATAGGCATGTCCTCAGAATGGGCAAAATCTCACTGTGAGGCCTGATCCCAGGCCACTGCAATCTAGTGAAAGTTCATTGCTCTGTGGCTAATTTTAAGTCCTGGACAAATCTGAAGGATCCATGCCTGTCTTGTGCAGTTGTGCACAGTCTGATCAAGCTCAAACGGGAAACCTAAAATGTCATTTCCTAAACTTTATGTATTGCCATCAATCCCTGCTCTTCCCTAGAATACCTACCCCCAGGAGAAAGGCACCAGCCCAGAAAAGACTCTCGATTTTTCCAACCTGCAGTACATCTAGCGTGGTTTATGTTAACAGTGATTTGCACGAAGACCTCCCAGGCTTTTTGGCTTTTGCAAAGGCTTTCTGGAGGCTGGGAGTGCTTGTGAGCCAGAGCCAGCCAGGTCAGCGTGTCTTAGATGAAGAAGCAAAATGATTCAAATGATATTTGCTGAGCTTCGGGAGAAGAAATGTGTGTGACTTGAGGTACAGAGAGAGGTGTTGCACAAGACCTTTATCCAGTAGCATCCATGAGGGATAACTTCCTAGCACTGAAATGTGCCCAAATTCCATGCTTGGCAAAACTTTCCTCTGGTTTGCCCTGCAGGAGTGCACATGCAATGTAGGTCTGCTAATAAGGGAAGTGTGACAATCTTGCAAAGCAGCTCACCCCTCTTATTGCCTTTCCTGTGGTCTCCTTGAGGCCAGCCAAATCCACACATGATGCCATGTGTGTAATTGCTCTTCTCAGTTGGTCCCCTAGCAGGGGAGGGTAAATATCAAAGAGACAGGCATGTTAGATGACATTTGATCTACCACTGTGAGAGACAGTGCTGAGAACAAACAATATCACATCTCTGCAAGCGAGGCTTTCGAGCAGAGCTGTTCTCTGGGAGTAATGCTGCTGGTCAGTCCTGGATTGTCTCCTGATGTCTCTACTTTGCTCCATGAGCTGTTGGGGTGTGGGGAGGCATGGGCTGTGCTGCTAGCTCCTCAACCAGCAGCATTTGCAGTGCACTTCATTGCTCTCAAGTTTCTCTGTGACTGAATTCCTCTTCCTCCCAGTTGCTGGGGTGTTCCCCATGTTAGGATGCTTTGTGATTTCCAGGGGCTCTTGTTTTACAGTTGAGGAAATAGCAGTGCTTATTTATTTACTGAAAAGATGGGGAAGGAGGTTTCTCTTACTGCCTTTTCCCTCTGTTTCATACAGAGCATTCCCCCAGGGTTTCCTTTGCAGAAGATACCTTGCACTGTACCCTTGGTTGTTTCTGATGCTGCAGGGTTGTGTGCAGAGGGCCAGGCAAGCAGCAGCCAGAGAAGGGACAACCAAGAGTTAAACAGTTCTGGCTGTGAAAACTGTTCTATGCATTTTATCACAGGTTAAACTGTGAAGTTCAGATCGCTCCTTTATTACCAATCTACTTTTTCAGTTGTTTATAATTTACTCAAAGATTCACCAAAAAATTCCCAGATCTTTTTCTTCTCTTAGGAAAACTGAGGATAAGAAATCAATAGGTGAGTTTGGGAGGCTCCAGCTGGCAGAAGAAAGCGGTCAGCAATGGGCTGCAGGCAGGAAGCAGACAGGGTTTTGAAAAAGAAAAGCAAACTTTCCCAGATAGAACTGTTTGTGGGAGGAGATCCTCTGGAGAACATAGCACAGGGGGGACAGGGTGCCAGATGGGCACTGTGAGTGGCTCAGACCTGCTCAATATTGGCACTTTCTCCTCTTGAAAATGTAGGAGCCAGCTGTTTTAATTCAGTTTGTGGCACTTAGAGCTGTTGTGGCCTAAAATGGTCTCATGTAAGCCTTTTTTTCACCAATTTCAGTGTTGTTTTATCCATTAAGGTACTGCTAGATTGTTATACAGTGGATAAGCCATGTACCCTTGGCTCTTCTCTTGCTCTTCATCTTGGTTTGGTTGGGACAGAGTTAATTTTCTTCATAGTAGCTCACAGGGTGCGTTGTTTCAGATTTGTGATGAAAACAGTACTGATAACACACTGATGTTGAGCAGTGCTTGCACTGAGTCAAGGACTTTCTGGCTTCTCATACTGCCTGCCACCAAGGAGCTGGGATGCACAAGGAGCTGGGAGGGGACACAGCTGGGACAGCTGACCTAGGCTGACCAAAGGGATGAGCCCTGCAATAAAAGCCACTGTTGCTTGGGATCTTTCTGGTCATCGTTCAGCTGGTGGTGAGCAATTGCACTGGTGCATCACTTCTTCTTTTCCCTTTAGTTGTAAGGTTCTTTTGTTTTCTTTTATTTTTCTTTCTTATTAAACTGCCTTTATCTCAACAGTTTTCTTACTTCTGATTCTCTTCCCCCCCCATTCAACTGCAGGGGTTTGATCAAGCAGCTCTGTGGTGCCCAGCTGCTTGCCAGGGTTAAACCTCATCTCTCTGGTTGCTGCAGGCTCTTTGGGTGCTTGTTTGGGCTCTTGCAGGCTCATGGAAAGCTCTTGTGCTACGTTCTCTGTAATGGCCATCAGCGTAAGAACAAGAGGACTATGGGCTGCCTTGGCCCATTTCCTTATTGCCTTTTCTCTGTAGGACTGCACAATCTTAGGGACATGGTTTAGTGGCATGGTGGTGATAGGTTAATTGAACTAGGTTATATTAGTGCTCTTTTCTAACCTTAACAACTCGGTGATTCATTCGTGCCCTTATTTATTTGCTAGAGATTGCCAGAGAATCCCATTCCCCTGTGGCAGCCCTTCAGCCAGGCTGCAGGTGCAGACCTTGCAGAGGAATGCAGGTTCTTCACTTTCCTCAGCATGAGTAGAAGCGATCCTGGGCTGTGCTTTGTGGTGCTGTAAAGAGCTTGGAGCTGCTTGCGATTAGCAAAGCGCTGTAATGAGAGCCAGAGGGACACAAACTCCGAGATGTTATGCAGGGTTGGCTCAGTTCTCTGTAGCCTTGGCTGCCTTGCACCTGCGGGTCAGAAAGCCCAGGGGACTTACAAGGAAACACTGCCAGCTTCACGTCTTGTGGATTTCTAGGCACTGCAGTTTTGCAGGGTGGAAATCACACTACTCCATCATGTAGTAAAGACTGAATGATTTGAGTGGTGACTCCAGATCTGCTGATGATTTCCATTTCATTGTGTTGTCCTTTCTTGTGTTTGTTCTTTATCAACAATGGCATCAAAATTGCTCTGAGATCTCCAGCTCTGTACCCTGTGCTGCAAACCACAGGGCTGCTTCATGGCCTTTTTGTTTCCTCCTCCGCTGAATGCAGGATTCCAGGATGCACAACAAGACTCTGAAACGCACCCGCAAGTTTGTGGTGGATGGAGTAGAGGTGAGTGTCACCACCTCGAAGATCATCAGCGAGGATGAGAAGAAGGATGAAGAAATGAGGTTTCTCAGGCAAGTTGGCCTCCATGCCAGAGGGAGGGCAGGGCGACAAGCTGGGCAGCGTTATTTTCTCCACTAGCAGAAGCTGTCCTGTCACTATCTGCCTGTGTACAAAGTCAGTCTCCATCTTGTTGATAAGCTCCCTTCATGTACTGGAAGGCCGCAGTGAGGTTTCCCCAGAGCCTCCTCTTTTCTGGGCTGAATAAGCTCAGCTCCCTCAGCCTGTCTTCCGCTCAGTGAGGGGAGTGATGCAACATCTTGGTAGGTAGGGCAGAATTTGGGAAAAACTGCCCTTTCTGCCACCCAGTTGTGAGGACAGATGGATGCAGGGTGTTGGGAGCAAGCTGGCACAACACCAGCTTGGCCTGAGCCATGTTTTCAAGATAATAGTCTTGCAATAATCTGGATGGCAGGCGTTGCCTGCAGCATCACCTTAGGAACTTTGTCAACACTTATTGGAGAGGGCTTGAGTGCTAACAATTTGTCCTTGTGAAAAGTGACAGCTTGCCAACAGTTCACATAATTAGCATCTTGCTTTCTTGAAGTGATCTGGTGTCACAGAGCCCAATGCATACCGCTCCGCTGGCATTTACCTCCTGCCTGTGCTTACAGCAGTCAGCAGCTAAGGGATGCCCGTGCAGTTTTCATTCACTCCTGCAGTGCTCTGGTTATTGATTCTGCCATCTCCACTCAGGCACGCAGCTCTTGAACTCATCTGACAGTGTTTCTCTCTCCCTCTCTCTTTTAACCTTCTTCAGGCGCCAGGAGCTGAGGGAGCTTCGCCTGCTTCAGAAGGAGGAGCACCGAAACCAGGCCCAGCTCAACACCAAGCACCAGCTGCAGCTGGAGCAGATGCTCCGGCGCTTCGAGCAAGAGATGACAGTAAGTGGGCAGGGGGAGCTGCTGGCTGTCAGCTGCTTTGACTTTTCTTCCTGGCAAACTCTGTCACAGGGCAGTGCTGTCTGGGTTGTGGCAGAGCAGCTGAGAAGCCCCTCAGGGACGGGATGTATTTGTGGAGGATGGAGCCTTTTGTGGGTGATACGTGCTTTGGGAATGCTGACTGCCATTGCAGAGCGTGGCAGGGGAAGGGTTGTTCAGGAGTTTCCCTCTTTAGTGGTCTTTTCTTGCATGTCTGTTTATTGCTACTGTGAGAGAAGATTTGTAGTGCTATTGTATTTAACAACAACAACAAAAGCTCTTCAAATAAGAAAGCAGTGTGGTCAGGGTTCGAGAGCAGGAAAACTGGCAAGTCTTTGGGTATAAATTGAATAAACATAAACTGTGCTGGCTTACTTAGTCCCTTCGTGGGCAGCTTACACTGAAGTAGAATGATTTTGTAGTCCAGTCTCTGTAGAGCTTTCATGAACTATCTTTTAAATACCCCTTTATTAATTCACCTAGCTTGCACATCTGGTAGCCCCATCCTCCCACAGCAGGCTGGGAGGCATCAATCATTTGTGTGCTGTTAGACTGTTAAAGTCTTGACGTGCCACATCTGTGAATTCCCATCTTAGCAAATCACTTCTCATTTCTGAGGTTATTCACCACACACTGCAATGTGCAAAAGCCCCACATGTGCTTCTTGTACCATTTCCCTGTGGCAGTTTGCAGCACAACCCCACTGATACTGGTGTGCTCCATTCCAGCTGCTTGCAGGGAGATCAGACACAAAGGCTCTGTTGGAGCACGGTGCCCTCAAACATGAAAATCCTTGTCTGTGGAGAAAGAAATGTTATGTTTGAACTCTGCTGCCTGTTAATATTTGCTCAGGGCTGTGGGTCCCAGTGGGATGCTGCGGATCAGGATTTAAGCAAGTAGATAGTGTTGAAATGCATCAGTTCTAGAACAGATTAAAAAATGGTTCACGCTAGAGCTGGGTCTGCCCTGTGCACTTCATGCATCGTTCTGTGGGAGTTTCTTTCCTCTGTATTCAGTAAAGAGGCTCAATTTGTATTAGGACGCCTATGTCAGAAGACAAAGTTCGGTGGAGACTGAGGCTGACTTGTGTTCCCTTCCTGTACAGGCTAAGAAGAAGTTCTATGACACTGAACTGGAGAACCTCGAGCGGCAGCAGAAGCAGCAGATTGAGAAGATGGAACAAGATCACTCGCTGCGCCGCCGGGAGGAGGCCAAGCGCATCCGCTTAGAGCAGGAGCGGGACCATGTGAAGTTCATGGAGCAGCTGAAGCAGAAGAAAAAGGAGGTAAGTTTGGGGTCAGATGGAGGAAAGCTGGCTTCCTGCATCTGTTCCTTCCAGCAAAGCATAAACAGTTCTCCGTAGCAGAGCTCAAGGGGGAACCAGTTGTTGGTGTTTTAGCAGGAAGCTTTTCAGTTTTCTTTGGTATATTAGGGTGTTTCTTGAGGTCCAGATGTTTAGCAACATTCCCTGGTGTTTTCTTGGCCTAAATTACCTGCTGATAAATCTCCTTTCCCTCTCCAAAGGTCAAGAATGAGGTTGAAAAGCTGCCACGGCAACAGCGCAAAGAGAACATGAAGTTGAAGATGGATGACTTTGCCCAAAGAAAACAAGCCATGGTAAGGTTTGAGAGAAGACTGCCACTACTCAAAGATAGAAGCATCCTTCTTCTCTGAGGGATTGGCAGCTTGTAAAATACCACCAGATGCTTTTCACATTGCAGTAGGAGGAGGGCTCATGCTGTTATTGCTGTTTCCTTCCAGGAACAGGATTTTTTGGCCAAGCAGAAGGAAGATCTGGAGCTAGCCATGAAGAACATAACTGCCCAGAACAAAAAAGAGATCTGTGACAAAGAACGCGACTGCCTGAACAAAAAGCAGCAGCTCATGAGAGGTGGGTGGTGAGGAGAAGGAAGAAAGCAAACGCTGTAACGATGGCCTCATCCACTGCTGGCTCGTCCCACGCAACAGCTGCTGTGGCAGAGTTGCAAGCTGGCAGGGTAGGATTTAGAAAAAACAGCCCTGCCAGATCCTGTCTAAATGTTTAGCAATAATAATAAATAGCGCTTTAATCTTCAAAGCACTTTACAAATACGAACCAATTAGGCTTCATAATTACAAGAAATGATTCTCTAATATGGCTTGCAACCACTTCTGCTTGGAAAACAGGTGGTGAGTGGTCACACGCACATCTGCTATGCTGCTGCCACCTGTAGCTCAGGATGCTGTGTGTGACCAAGCTGAGGGTCCAGGGTGGGTTTTCTCCTGACTCTCTTCTTTTCCTCAGACCGAGAGGCATGCATCTGGGACCTTGAGGAGCGTCAGCAGCAGGAGAAACACCAGCTTATCAAGCAGCAGCTAAAGGACCAGTATTTCCTCCAGAGGCATGAGTTGCTCAGGAAGCATGAGAAGGTGAACAGTTAGCTCCTCCTTGTAATGGTCCTGCGTGCTGCTTGGGTGTCTGTGAAAGGGGCGCTTCCCATCCAGGATTTAAATGAGAGTGGAATGTGAGCTAGGAGTTGTAGGTCTTAGTCATTATTAGTCCAAGGGGATCAGAGTAACACTCAGGTCAGATGACTGAAAGAATGGTCAGGTGCTGGATTGGGCTGCCCAGGGAGCTGGTGGAGTCACCAACCCTGGAGGTGTTCAGGGGATGTTCAGACGTTGTGTTGAGGAACCTAGTTTAGTGAGAAGTGTTGGTGATAAGCAGATGGTTGGACTGGATAATCTTGTAGGTCTTTGGCAACCTTGGTGATTGTATGAATTGCTTGGCATCTATATTCTGTGCTGCTTGCATGTAATGTACAAGAGGCAGCTGTGAATTTTGACGGGTTTTATGGCTTTATTTTTTCTGGAAATGTTATCCTGTATGTGAGTTGGATTCTCACAGCAGTGCGCAAGGTTGGCACATCTGACACGTGTCTCCTCCTGTTAACTTGTCTCGTACATTGCAGGAAAGGGAGCAAATGCAGCGCTACAACCAACGTATGATAGAGCAGCTGAAAATTCGGCAGCAGCAGGAGAAAGCTCGGCTCCCCAAAATCCAGCGGAGTGAAGGGAAGACGCGCATGGCCATGTACAAGAAGAGCCTTCACATCCACTCCAGTGGCAGTGCAGCTGAACAGCGGGAGAAGATAAAACAGGTCAGGCCATGCACAAAACGCTAGGATTGAGGGTTGGCTTAGGGCTGTAGAGCTCCACTGGGGAATTCAGATTGGAAAGAAGAAACCATTCCCCAGATTCTAACCTACTGCAGTGATCTGAGCAGCGATGCTCACACAGAGGCTCCTGCTTTTTTCTCTTCCAGTTTTCTCAGCAGGAAGAGAAGAGGCAAAGGGCAGAGCGGCTGCACCAGCAGCAAAAGCATGAGACACAGATGAAGGACATGCTGGCCCAGTGTGAAAGCAACACGAACGAGCTCCAGCAGCTGCAGGTACCTGTGCCCTCTGATGTGCAGAAAAGCCCTGGCCACTGTAAAAGTGGCTGCAGTGAGCTAGAACTGGTGTTCTCCAGCTTGACCTTTAGAAGTTTTTATGGTACTGTGTAAGCATGCCTTGGAGCTCAGAGCTCCGAATGCTTCTGGCTGCTGCAAGTCTTCCTGGACTGCAGGATTTACAGTCCCACTTCCTTAATGAGTGTTTTGCTTTGTGGTCTGTGTTTAGAATGAAAAGTGTCACCTTTTGATTGAACACGAAACGCAGAAACTTAAGTCCCTGGATGAGAATCACAACCTGCACATGAAGGAGTGGCGGGACAAGCTGAGGCCACGGAAGAAGGTATTGCACTCCCTGCAGATTGAGGTGCTGGGATGGTTGGAAGGGGCAATGTCCAGAGCTCTGGTGCTATATCAAATATACCTTGTGTTTTGTTCCCTTTTGCTTCAGGCCCTGGAGGATGAGCTGAACCAGAAGAAGCGTGAGCAGGAGATGTTTTTCAAGCTGAGTGTGGAGGCAGATGAACAAACCCCAGCATCCCCAACCAAACACACCAAGTTCATCCCCTTCAGCTCCACAGAGAGCTCGTAACCCTGTGGCTGGCAGGACACCAGCTGGGCCTTGCTGCATCCTCCTGGGCTGTAGTGGGGCACCTTGGACTTGGAAGACTCTCAGCAGCCTCTTCTCACAGCACCTGCCTGTCCCTGTGCTGTTCCTATGAGAAATGTGCCTTTGTCCTTCACTGGGAGATGCTACTGGATGTTTTGGAGGCTTTTCCAGAGTCTGGGCTGCTCAGCAGAGCTCATGACTGGGGAGGACAGTTTCTTTCTGTGGTTTACTTGCACTGTTAGCTGAATGCATTGCCTGTGCTGTGAGCCTGGTGCTCAGCGGGCTCATCAGCTGGAACTGAAGAATAGCAGCCCTGAGCAGGAGCAGTAGGCAGGGCCTCGAGCACACTGCCAGTGGTTAAGCTGCTCCTCCCAGTCCTCTGTAACCAGCCAGCCTGGGACAAAGCATCCCTGTGGTGTCTTATGCAAGCCTTGGCCTTGTTGCCCCCCACATTTGCCTTAGATTTATTTGTATCTGCCATGGCCCCCTTTGTCTCAAAGGAGACAGTGATTTGGATTTATTTCCTTTTAGGAGAGAGACTTAGGTTCCCACCACAGTCTGTGAAGAAAAGGGACTTGCTGAGCACCCTATCAGAGTACGTTCAGTTTTTCATTGTCATTTCATTTGCTGTGGTTGCAGGCACCACGGTCTCTCTGCACCTGGCTAGCATTACCTTATTGGGCCCCAAACTTGCAGCTGATAATGTGGGGCTCCTCACTGAACCTCTCAACTGCCTGCAGGTTTTCGTCCCTTGAATGTGTGTGCACGTGGGAGTTTGTAATGTTGTTCAGTCCCATGGTGTTGCAGCGAGGGGTTACAGGGTGTTAATGCAGCAGCTCTTATGGTCACACATGTGCCTGAGGTTTTTTTTTAAGTGCTATATATGTATGGGCCATGTAAGTCAGCCACTCTGAAGTCAGGGTAGCAGGAAGAAGCAAAGGAGTCTTGAAACAAGGGGTGCAAGGGAAGAGGAGATGCAAAGATAGGTCACAATGGCTTGTTACCCTGTTTTATCTCCTTGTGAAGTGCCATGGTCTCTTGTATGATTCTCCTGACCTTCAGCTTAGCGTCAGGCTGCAGAGAGGCAGAGCAGCAGTGGGCCCAGCCTTCCACCCTCTGTTCTGTGGCGTTGTCTCAGGTGGGTGCTGTTCCACATCAGCACAAAGCACTGCATGGCTGAGCTTTGGTTGAGCTCTGGTGACCCGGAGCATGAGCCTGGGAAAGGGAACTGAGCAAGGCCCTCTTCATGCAATGGCAGTGACCAAAAGGCATATGGTAGCACGTGGGTTTTTCTCTTCGATGTCTGGACAGTTGTTTAGTGCAAGAAGAAATGTCCCTGCTAAAAAATAACTATTAGCATGTATCGGTTCAGAGATGTACTGCCATTTGAGGGCAAGGTGGTCTCTGGCATGCTATGCTCTCAACTCCCTGGCTGAAGGAGTCAGCCCCCAGGTCTTTCCCACATCTTTATCTGAGGAGTGCATTCGCTACCCATTTAGAGTTCATAATATGCTTCCTACAAACTAGCAAGATTACATTAATTTGGGCCATTCCAAGATTCTTCTGAATCTACATCATTAATGTCTTAATAAACATAGCCTAGAGATGTGAGGGCTGGGTCCTTTGCAAGCAGTCTGCGTGCAATAAATAGTCTGTCTTAGGGAGGCTGCCTCTCCCATCTCCAAAAGGATTGGCTGTGCCTTTCAGATACGATGACAGAACCAGTTTGGGACAAAAATGAATGAGCACGGATTGATCCTGAACCAGGACGATGTGTTTGTTTCAGCCTTTTAGTTGCAATGGAAAGGTACAGTAGCAGCCCCAGTGGTTCCCTGTCCCCCTGGGGTCAGGCTGGAGTTGTTCAGTAAGATGGTGGTTGTTGCAGGAATCAGTGCCTAGTGTGTGGCTTTTGGTTTGGTATGTGTGACCTGCGGAAGGATGTCTTGCAGCGCGGTGTTGCTGCCATACTTTGTCCAGTTGAAGCAGCCTGCAGCCCCTCTGACCGCCTTCTTGCACCAACCCAGGAGTGTCAGTTCTCTCTGAATACTGTGCAGCTGTGGGGATGGATGGAGACTTTCTGGAGGCTTTTAAGGAGCTGGTTAGATCCCCTGAGGGAAATCGGTTGTGTCTTCCTTCAGTGCAGCTCATTCACAGCCTGGAGTTAGCAGCATGGTTTTGCTTCTGCTAATAGAGGATGGGAATGGTTTTGTCCCCTGCCTGTTCTGCTCCTTTTCCAGGTGCATTGGTGCTCTGGCACCAAACCCTCTCCGTGCAGAGGGCAGGGGAGCACATCTGATGATTGTCATGTTTACAGAGAGGTTAGTTTGCCTCCCTTTAAGAAGAGATTGTTTTGTTGTTTCCTGTTGAGAAGTAACCACAAATACATTTTTGGGGGAGGGGATGCGGGGCCATTTTTTAAAATGTGGCTTTGAATAAAAAGACTTTTAAAATGTTTTGGAGAACATCTTGGAGTCATCACTACGATGTAAAGAGCCTTCTAATAAAGTAACAGACCGAGAAACCCGGCCGCGTGTCTGTTCTGCCGCGTGCTCTCAGCCGTGCCTCACGCCAGCACAGCGTTGCAGCCGCAGGTTGGGTTTTGCTGTCAGAAAGCCCCAGTGCCTCTTCTGGCATGGGAGCACTGCGCGGCCGAACTTCTGCAGGTCGTGAGCACTCCTGGCATCTCCGCGATGAACCGGAGCGCTGGCAGCGCCGACAGCAGCTCCTCGATGGCTGAGAGCAGTGCTCGGCTGCCCCTGCTTGGCGGAGAGGAGCATTGCATCCTCCTGAGGAAGAATGCAAATCGCTCGTTTAATTCCTTTTTCTTCAGGTTGCCTGGCTTTAACAGGAGCCGCGTGGGCTGCAGAGCACCGGGCTGCACGTCTTCTTGCTCCGTGATACAGCAAGTCAGAGATGGAATAGTTGAGAACGCATAATGAGCTGCCTCCATTTACATCTGCTGCGCTGCACTGTCCCCTGGGACAGCCCGGTCCGAAGGGGCCTCACTGAGTGCATCTCGGGGGTATTTAATTCATCCGCGTGTCCTCGGCAGCGCCTGAGGGGAGCTTCAACCGTGACAATTCTTATTTATAAATAGGTGGAAAGCACCGTGTATTCCAGACATAGTCATCATCTGCCATTCTGCCTCAGTGAAGCACGGAGCAAAGTGGAAAAAATCTGTCTTTCTTCATAAAAATCCAGCTGCCAGTCCCTAGAAGCAGCTGGTGCTGCTCGAGCCGTGCCACTCTCGACTCTGCTCATTACCTCCTCTGCACACTGTGGGCTCCGAGCCACCCAAAAACTACCTGAAGGCTTTCGCAGCGCTCCTCCTGCGGTGGGGCGGCGAAGCGCTCTGCGGGGAGAAAAAGCACCGGGCTGGGGCTGTGGCAGAGGAACAGCGATCTCTAAAAAAGAGCTGCACTGTGCCACGGGCCGGTCGTGCCCCGGGCGGTGCAGGGCTGCGGGCCGCGCTTCCCCGCGCCGGGCGGCAGGTGGCAGCTGGAGCGGCCGGAGCTGCGCGATAGCACCGCTCGGCGGGTCCTGCCCCACGGCACAGCTCCGGCCGTCTCCGCTTTTCCTCGGTGCCTCAGCGTTTCATTGCAGCGGTCCGCTTACACACAATTCTTACATGGACAAGGCGAGCAGAGGCGGTGGTGCTGTTCTCTCTGCAGGGCAGTGTGAGCTCCTTGCGTTCCGTCCGTTGCACTGTGCCCAACGGCCCAAGCAGCCTGCTGCAGGCACACGAAAAGCCCTCTGCACACTGAGCTGAGGGCTGGATTTTCAGAAGTCGTTCATCCTCTTGGATTGAAATGTTGGCTCCAGCAGATGATGAGCTCTCCTGTGTAGTTAGTTAGCAACACCTGAAGCTTCTCCTAGGGCAGCTGGGGACAAATTGTTCATCGCTGAACTCCTCTCGATTGCTCCTGCACCCCGATATCAGGGAGCCTCAGAAGCACTGCAAACACAGCCCTGCTGCTGCCGTGGCCGTACGCGAGATGTGCACCAGGCATGGGCCTCCAGGGCCATCACCCCTTCCTTGATCCACACTGAGGAGCAGCAGAACTGTAATCACAGCCCTGCAGTTCCTTGCATGCCTCCTATGGGATGCGGTCAGGTCAGCGTGCAAAGCCACGCTCCATCTTCCCTACTGCTCTCATCAGGGCTGTTAATTAAGCACAGGAGCCACCTGATTGTCTGTAACCTCTGCTCATTCCTAGTGCTGGATGCAGTGGAATTGCAGCCAGTGTTGGTGTGTTGGGCTCCGATGCAATGGGGTCACCTCAGCCCACTCTGAGCAGGCTGCAGTGCCAGGGAAGCAGTGCTGATACTGAAGTGCTTCTGATTGATTTTGTGTGGCTGCATGGCTCTCTGCCAGCATCCGCAGCCTGGAGTGGGTTTGCACTGGAAGATACAGATAGCAAAACCTCCTGTAACAAACTGCCTGTTTCCTACGAGTGATTTACAGCCGATGTAGAGGAATGGCCATGACAGACTGCAGCATTCATTACGGGATACATCCAGAGAAGTCCAGAGAGGTGCTGGAAGTGGAAAGGCAGAAAAGCACCGTGTGCTCATGGATGCAGGTAGATCTGAGGTGCCATGAAAGCTTGTTCACACATTCCCCTTTTGCTTTCAGTCTCACACACCTCCACATGGAGATGTTGTAGCATTCAGGAACTGAAGTCAGCAGCAGAGGAATGCCTGAAGAGTCTGTGCACAGAATGGGGAGGTGAGAGCAAAGCTCTCCAGGCACAGCTCCGGCCACGTCTCTCTGGGCTGCTCAGGCTGATTTCCTTCTGAGGGTCACTGAGGGCTGATTGTTGTCTCTTGCAGCTTCTCACCAGCAGCTGCACGGCCAGCATGAAAGGTGGGGTAAGCCAGCATGCAGGGCACTGAAGGGCCTGACTTGTTCTGATGCTGAAAGCAGCAGAAACAGCTCACTGTACGCGTGGTTTCACACCACTGCTTACACTCACTGACATTCCCAGGCATGTGCAGAGTGATCCCAGGGTCCAATGAGTCCAAGGTGTGTAGGTCATGGCCACAGTGTCAATGTACAGATGGAGTGAGCAGCAGAGCTATCAGCCTGGCTGTGTTGTTTTCAGTGTGCGAGGGATGTCAGGTCACTCTGTTTGCTCCGTTAAATCAAATTAGCAGAATGCAGGAGGCCAGCTGTGCATGCAGATGACCAGCATGCCCAGCACCATCACTCTCTGCAGACACCTCTCATCCTGCAGTCATTGCTGAACACAGCAAAGTGGCACCCAAAGCAGAAGGGATAGCAGCAGATGTAGCATTTCTAACTCCACATCTCACTGAATTCCCCTCATCTTGCAGGTTAACATCTGTTGTCTGCACCTCCGTGGCTCTCTGTGGCAGCAACAGCAAAGTTAGCAGCACAAAAAAGCTACATTTAAGGAGCAGCCAAGGAGTGAGATGAGTTGTTTATGATTAAATTAAATTCATATGAAATTTAATGACCTGCCAGCGTGATGCTTGGGTAACTTTGTAATGTAATTAAAAGCCCATCGGGGAGGAGAGCTGTTGGTTATGCCACGCGTTGAGTCGCTGCTGGGAAGAAGCGGGTGATGGGTGGAGCAGCTGAGGAGCAGCGCTGGGTTGCCGTTTTGTCTTCTCCCCTGATGGAGTGGGCTGCTTCAGCCCCCAGCCCTGAAGGGTGTGGAGTTTCCAGGACAGTTCTGGAGATCTGACCATACCAACGCTCAACAAAACCTCTGTTTTCTACTTATTTACAAAATGCTGTAGGGATGCTGCTGTCAGTGCCCAAGCCAGCGCAGCTCGGGAGCAGTTGTGGCACACGAGTGCGGTCAAGGAGCCCGCCCCCAGGTTCCCTAAGCCAGAAAATACACATCAGCCGGGACCCTCGTCCACGGCACAACCACCCCCCGGGCAGGACGAGCAGCCGGGGCTGTGCCACCAGGAAGCCGGGCCGGCTCTCACACCGGCATCGCTTCGGGGAGCTGTAGAGCAGAAAAGGTGAAGAAGGAGGACGGCGCGGAGGGCTCGTACTGCCCCGCACAGCTTTTTCCGCACGCGCCGTTCGGAAAAGCACCGCTCGCGGGCCGACGCAACTTTTGTTTTCCCGGGCTGGTTGCACGGAGCCGCCCGGCGGCTTCCCGCGCCGCGCATTCACCGCTCACGACACCCCTCGATGTCGGGCCGCACACGCGCGGGCCGGGTGGCGCCGCTCGCCCCTTTAAGCGGATGGCGGCGGGGCCGCCCCTCTGGCTGGGATAGGCCGGGGCGGTGCGGGGCCGCCTCCCTCCCCCGGCAGCGGGCGGGCGGCTCGGCCGGGCTCGGCGCGGCGCTGCAGGCTCCGGTCCGGGCTGCGTGCGCCAGAGCCTCCCCCAGCGCCGCCGCTCCCCGCCGGGCCGCCGGGCCGCGAGGGCAGAGGCATGCCCAGGCGGAGCATCGCGGAGGTGAAGGTGCTGGACGTGCAGAAGCGGCGCATCCCCAACAAGCACTATGTGAGTGGCTCGGCTCCGCGCGGCTTTGCGCGGCTCTGCGAGCTCCGCCGCGCCCGGCCCGGCCCTGGGCAAACAAAGGCCGGGCGCTGCCGGTCCCCCCGGAGCTCTGGGCGGGCGTAGCAGCGCTGCCGGCTCTGTGCCGCTCCTCCCGGGGCGCCGCTATGCGGGACGCGGAACGATCTGCGGGATCTGCGGGCGGGGTAACGGGGGTGGGTTTGTTGGGAGCGTCCGCTCCCCGCAGTCGGCTCCGGGGCAGCGCTGAAAAGCGCATCCATCCGCCGCGTGGAGGGTGTGGGACCTGTTGGCTGCCCCGGTGTGAGGGGAACCCGGCTGCTGCCCTCCGTGCCCGGGGTGGTGCTGCTGTCCTCTGCCCAGCTGTGCTCTGTACCCCTTCTGTGAGGAGAGCGCGTTCCTGCACGCTCCAGGGCATCTTCTGAACCGCTGTGAGTTTGCCTCTTTCTCGAAGGGTTCAGGTTTTTTCTTTTTCTTTTTTTTTTTTTTTTTTTTTTTTCTGTTTAAATTTACTATTATTGTTTACACTTTGGTGTGCTTCCAGGCATCCACAGAGACTTTGTGGGGGAATCTTGGCAATAGCTGTAAAGCATAGACTGAAGTGTTCTCCCTGCTCGTTTCAGAGCAGGGTGACCCAGTGACACACAGTGCTCGCAGTGCTGCTGGGTTATGGAACACCGCGTTCCTCTGCTTATGTCAGGGGAGCTGGGCAGCCGCAGCCATGGGCTTTCTTGGAGTTCCCTTGAATGGTGTGTAGCAGTGAGCAATAGTCAGGGGAGAGCATTAAGGACAGGGTAAAGAGAGCTGATATCACTCCCCTTGCATCCAGGGGAGCGCCTTGGCTCTGCAGGGTGGCTGCTGCCTGCCAGCCCTTTGCCACCCCTTTCTCCTGTCCTGCTCTGTCAGCCCCAGCTCCAGCCGTGCCCCCTTCCTTCTGCATCTGTCCCAGAGTTAGTTACTCATGTTGGCTGGGCAGTGCATCAGATCCGGAGCACTGTGTGTGTGAGGCGGTTTGATGAGC